GACATGCTACTATGAGTTCTTTAAGATAAGACTGAGCGTGGTTTTTCAAGACCTTATATCTGAGGAGAAAGATTTTAAATTCGATTCTGGGTTTAACAGTGAGACAGTGAAGAATGCCAAAATGGGGGAAATATGATCTCTCTTTCTAGTTCCTGTCAGTACTCTCACTGCAGCATTTTGGATTGAATGAAGGCTTTTTGGGGAGCTTTTAGGACAACCCGATAATAATGAATTACAAAATTCAAGTGCATAATCCTTCCTACGGTGGCTGCTGTAGGACAAACAACTCATTCATCTGTAGTGAGTGTATGCTCTCAGAATGTAATCAAACTGTTTATTGGAAGGAAAGTGTGATTTTTAGGACACTTGAGCCTAATATTAGCTGGCACAGTGTTAGCTTATAACCAGCTGTTGTTGTTTAGCTGGCTCATTGTCAGCTGCAGAGACGGGAGGGTTGGATGTCTAATTTTCTGACAGTTGCAACAGTATCAGATATAAATACACATGTTTATGCAAGTTTTCATGTGTTAAGGTCTTGACTTCAGTTCAGGTGGAAGAGGATAAGGTGGAAATGAGGAAGCAGTCATGGAGAAGGAGAATGACAATAAGAAAGAAATGCTGAAAAACACAGAAATGTCAGATATTCACATATTGTTTGAAAGAGCTAATTGTGATTATTAAATTAAAAGTTACTTATAAGGCATAGTACATATGCTGCTGGTTTCTTGGCAATTAGGAAGAAACGCAATTAGGTGGAATGACGATGCTCATTTTGGCTGCTGTATTCAAAATAACGGGAAACATGGCAGCTTGCACAAACCTGCTCCTATGCATTTGTAAAGGATAAACCCAGCACACTGAACTCCTATATGATGACTTGGTAGGACAGAGCATAGCCTGTTTTCCTGTTTTGTTGTGTTTTTTTAATACCAATTGGCCTTTACAAAAAGAATACTGCGTTATATTAAATAAAACTTTAAACTAATGATTGAGACAGTAAAGTGCTTGGATAACTATTTACTGAGGCTTTAAATGAAGTGAGAGGTTAGACAGACTTCTGTTCAGTCTCTGGAATATATATATTATTATTTTTCTGTGAATTCAAGGTTTTCAATGGAAAAAACCCCCAAAATGAGATGCACTGAGCCAAAACAGTGAAGTTCTGGCCCCCCAAATCAAATCATGCATTCATAGAAATAATTAAAATAAATGCTGTGACATTTTTGACAGCCGGTCACCCAGACTTAAACTACTTTCCAGGAACCAGTGTGGCACATAACCCCTGTAGTTTTTTAGTTTTTACACGTTCAACATTCAACATTAGTCAGCGAGCTTTGAAGCTAATTGCAGGTAGATTTCTGAAGACACGACCATGCTTGCTGTATATCCATTTTTTCCCATTCTTTGCAATCAGCAAGCCAGTAGAGCATGCACATATGAGAGTGGGATCAATAATGCTTCATTAGAAAGCAGATATGTCTATTGCCTAAGAGTACAAGTGTAAAACTACTATAAATAAAAAAATAATAATATAGGAAGCATAAGGTTTTGTCTTCTTTGTTCTATTTCCAGTTACTGAATTCTTGATTTGTGTTATTGTGAGGCACAAACATTGCTTTCAGGAGAGTTTAGGCAGCAAATAAAGGACAAATGAGGCTAGTGACCTGTTCAGGACTGAAGGTCACTCTTTGGGCATCAGTCTTGAAAACAGAGTGACAGCCCCAGAGAGGCTGATAAGTAAATACAGTTTTAATGGTCTCTGAATGGCTGGTGGTAATCTGTGCAGGCCACGAGTGGGCAAGGCACAGAGGGCGACGGGGCATTCTGCAGCAGTTATTATAAATGCTATCATAGATCAGATAGGCCAGAGAATGAGAATGAAAGGTGGTGATGAATTTGGGCCTTCTGTCGACCAAATGACTAGAGGACAAGCTGCTGAGGCAGGTTAAGGTCATGAATGAAGGATACCACCCAAAAAGAAGACACAACGGACAATTCATTATGTATAATGCAGAGGACAGAATAGTCCATATCTCAGGGGACCGGCTGCAGGTCGCAGGGTGACAATGTCAAAAAAAGAAAAGAAGAAAAGGATACAGTCCGCTTCAACTTCTCTGTTTGGTACAGTCTGGAAAAGTTTTAAGCACTGAAAGCAAAATGAGTCTACTATAATTAGTTTTATGTGTCAATTAAGTTAAAAGGAAGTGCTGCGGATAGAAAAAAAACTGAAGGCAACCATTTGCCTTTAAAGCAGTTCTAGGTAAAGGTTTATGGTACTTGGCAGGAAGGTTTTTCTGCAGTTCTTCTGTGGATTTTGAGCTGTTTAATTTGCTTCTTTTTTTGGGTGATTCCAGACTGACTTCATGACGTCATGGAGGTCATGCAATCTGTAATAGGCTTTTCCTTCTGCTTCTTGCCTCACAACGATGATTGTTTATGAATCTGGTGGTATTTTTGGGCCGTCATGCTGCAGAATGAATCTTATAGTGAGACTTGAATTGTATTGCGTGATGGATTAGAATATAAAATGTTTGCACAGTGCTGTATATTATATAGCCGCAAGTATTTTTCCCCTTCTTCTTGGCAGAAAAGCCGTGCCATTACAGGAAACAAAACTGCTTAACATTCCAAAGTCAAATGCGTTGACAGGTAACTGAAAGTGGAAATATAGTTTGTTGTATCTAAACGTGTCTGGCATTTCAGTCTTGGGTCTATTTCCAAGGCATGAAAGCTTACAGATCTTTTTCAAGACATCAAAGGGTTGAGACCTTTTTGCAGACATCAAAGTCTTAAGACCTGTCCTCGGAGAGGTCTAAACGGCACATCTGTCAAGACAAAATCGCTCGTATTTTTCCCTCTTAGACATCTCTTTAAACAATGCCTGCAATAGCGCTGCCTCTTTTGAAAACTCCGGTTTTCCAAATCAAATGTGCCTTATCGACCTTTGGAAAGAGATGGATAGTATGTGAGCTTTCACAGCAGTCAATGTTTTGGTCATTTTAGCTCAGGAAATGGACTTACCATGTGCAGAACCGACAGGGGCTCTGCTTATTTAATGACTTGCACAGCTATATACGATGTAACCGAAGCCACTCGGGGTCTGTCTGGTGCACCCTGTGATTTCCAGCCGTCGAACAGACCTCAGTATATCGTGGTCTTCAAGGGATTTAAGTGAGTGTCAGGTCCTAGAAGGGGGTTACTTTTGGACAGCTACCAGCATTTGTGTGAGTGCTTTTCCAGCCCACCATTACAGCTACAGCTAGGGAAGTGACTGTTCTACATCAACACTTTTGTTCCCTGTACCTCTAATGCTTTTTGCAGCTGTACCAGAGTGAATTTTTTTCCAGCATCAAATTGCACGCATTAAGAAGGAAGTAAAGTCTCAGTTCCATAAGCAAAAATGGAATTTGAAGTGAACCAGAACGGGCGACTTAACACAAAAGCTTTAACAATGATTTAGTGCTAAAAGATGTTTCAAACTCTCTGGTACCTGCACAGAACACTCACAGCACCAAACCAGAATAGCCAGGACTACAATAGCTATATGCTGTGTGTGAATGAAAGTATTGTAGTTTTCTTTGAGAATGATTTCTTGTGCATTTAGACCTTGCACTGTAGACCTCAACTTAGTAGTTAACCTGAAATAAGTGGAGCTGAGATACAATGTCATAAACTTTAAAATAAACTGCACCCGAGTAATGTTAGAGTTGACTGAATAATAAGTGTTGCTTCTCTTTGTTTCTTAAAAAAAAGCCACAACTACACTTTTCCCACACTCAAAATGAAAATCAGTGATATAGGTATTACTTTACAGCGATCACAGCACTTACAGGCAGGGACAGTGATGAAACGCATCTTGTGGAAACGAATGACTGCACTGTTGGTGAGTCATCTCATACATCTCTATTTAGTCTTCATGGATTTTTCTTTATCTTTCCTTCACAACACCGTCTAATCTGCTTAGAGAGGGAGGGGAAAAAACTGCTGTGGGGTTCATGGTTTAATCAATTACCAGATTACAGTAATAATCCATATTTTAGTTCATTTTCTGGGTTGCAATTATAATGAATTCACTGGCAGCCGCAATTATGTTCCCATCAATGGAAGTGGAACAAAAGCAATGTCAAATAACACCAGCACTGTATACTGCTAAGTCAAATTGCATTGGAACTGATATGTCAACACATGCTTGTTTGCTGGACTGCTTGCAGGGAAATATATATATATATATATATAAATTTCTAATCTTTATTATATTAGATGGCTCTGCAGAAAAGGGCCATTTGTGGTGGAGCTGAATATATGTTCCTCGTGGCCCTGAATGGGAATAAGTATGGAAAATTGAATGAATAAATGAATGGAGATGGCTCACTGGAAATTGTGTGAAAATACAACAAAGGAGCGAGAAACTCGGTGAGCACTGCAGCCATATCTGAGCCTACTGCGGTGATTGAGTGCATCTCTCTCAGGATGCAGACACCATACCGCGAATGATGTCATCAGACTGGTGCTTTTTACTTTTCTTTACCCACTGTCATTTCTTTTTTTCGTAATTGTATTTTAATATTAATTACCCGAAGCGTTAAAGGTTTGCGTTATCAAACACGAGCGGCGCAAGTTTTTCAGTTCACTCTTCGTGCCGCACAGGGTCGCTGGTGCCTGACAAGTGGCGCAATCATCCAATAAATTCGAAATGTCCGATGACAACTTTTAAAATCATTGTTTTTGCACGCAAATGGCAGCGACGTCACCAGACGTGTTGGTTATTTAACACACGTGCAACTGTCTGATTTTGATTTAAAACTGACAGGGTGAACATGTTAGTTTTTTTCGGTGTTGTTGTTGTTGTTGTTGTTGTTTTAGGAAGATGCTTTAATGCAAACTCAGCTGGTCAAAAGTGATGAATTAAAATATGTTTACTCCCGGCATCAATGATATGATGTTCCTGGAGCGCAAAACGCCCCCGCTCTGTGTCTGTTATGTCTTTCCTTCTGGTCCCCTCGACGCGCATTGGACGGGGTGACAATGCGTAAGCTCCACAAACTGCAGTCTGTCTGCATAAACATAGAAGAACGATGACTTGAATCCGGACTTTCGCTGAATATATGAATCACCTGGTGCCAAAGTATCATTAGAAGTGGAAGCTGAACGCTGAATACGGACCTCTTGCGCGCTCTCCTCTGGCTCAGGACTTCACGAAAAGCTGTCTGGGTGTGGATGTACGCTGATCTATGCCGGGACTTGAACTTTTCTACTTTTAGATAATTCGCCTTAACACGAGGATGGACGGAAAGTATCGGACTTTACGCACTACAGCCAGCTTCAGGAGCCCGGTGATGCAGAAAGAAGGGAGCTGGAAAAACTGACCGTCTGAGGACAGAGGATTTCTGCGCTTCTTGGGATAAAAAAAAACAAACCCCGCTATAAAACAAACACAAAATCGTTGTGAAAATGTGTCATAACTGGTCTTTCGCCAGTAATCTAAGCGTTATCTCTTCTAAAAAGAAAAATGCTGGAGAGACCGAAGCAAAGCTGAAGTTCTTTCTCTTCAGTTCTTGAATTTTCCTGACAAAAACAAGTAGATCAGACTTTCAAAACTGCTCACTCGAACTATGATTGTTCAGCGTTTGGAAACTAACGATTGCAGCATGAAAAGACGTGTTTTCATTCTTCATTTTTAGAAACCACACTGCACGTAGGATGCTCTTCTTTGAACTAACACGCATCGGCTTGCGCACTAATTTTTGGGGGAATTCGTGTTTTTTAACGGCTCAGAGAAACATGTTGCACATCCTTGCGCTTCAGTCGGTGGTGTTACTTTTGGGAGGTAAGCATTTTAAACCTTTTAGCCTATGTGTCTTTACGCCCACTGTGCCGACTGAGGAGCCAGGCTTTTGTTAAACAAAGATTTCAAGTAAGTTTAATACGAACTGGAGCCAAGTAGCGTGATTTTTGTCACACAGGGGACCGCGTGAGATACACGGTGATGCAGGGTAGCGAACATCCTGCTTGTCTCATCTGCGTGTACGCTTACATTCCCCAACAAGAATTCAGTTCAGATGTGTTCAGTCATATATTATGGATTCCGAAGACCTCGCTGCAGTGGCTCTGCACCTGTACGATGAACCCAGAGCAGCTCTGGCTTTAAATAACACTTATCTCATCAATATTTCAACATGACAAGGATTATCTTGTGCAACAGAAGCACTGGGGTTGTATCGACTCTTGACTTAAGTTATTACATAAAATTCATCTCCAAGCCCATATTTATTTCATGGGAAAACTTAGGAGAGTTGCATTGATGAGAGCTCTTCATATAGCTTCACAACATCAGTCCCAATCTCTTTGACATGTCACTTAATATGTTTTTAGTAGGAATTTCTGCGTTTTATATGGATTCTTGGTGGGGGGAGAAAAAGATGATTTAAATGTCATTTTCCACATTGCATCAGTCAATTAGTGCCACTGGGAGGAGAACAGCAACATCCCTTTTGACTGCCTGGCGGCCAGGATATATAGATCTGAAGGCAGCTGGTGGTCTGGCTAATGAATCCCTTCTGTCTTGTGGGAAAAGGGTTTAAACTAAAATGCAATCTGGAAATTTTAACCGGTCCTCCAATGGGACTTTTTCTCCAGATGATGCCTGGCTCTAGCAGCTTTCCAGCATACCCAAAAGAAGAGTTTTTCACGGCATGTCTTTAATTAAAAGCAAAACTTTTTTTCCTCCCTTTTTTCTTGTGCAAATGAAAGAAACAACAACACATTTTTCAGTGAATGAATATGCAATCCTTGTTCACTGCAGTGAGACCTAGAATCACAATCTTATTGTAATTACATAGAATCTGCAGCCGGCAGTGTATCTGTTATGGTCTAAGAAACACTTGCACTGGTTTCCTGCAGAATTAAAGGTCATAGTTTCCAGAAACAATCTTTCCAAAATTGCATCTTAGAGGTCCATTGTGCATGTGCGCCTCGGTGATACATCTTGGAGCTCATGAGGATTATTCTTATGTAACAGCACCTCTCTTTCCAGTGCTGGCTCACTGGCTTGAAGTATACTGTAATAATATTTGCCATGTGCTAAGGCCTTACACAGTGTGATCCTAATTGAGGATTGTGTGTCATAAACCTGCAGGACACAGCTTCTTACTGTGAATAGTGATGAAAATTGATAACACACTCCAGGAAATGAGAGGATCAGATCCGTGCTAGAAAAATGTCTGCGCAGCATAATAAGCCACGATTAGGGATGGAAACCTGGTGTTCTAGTGTGACTGTGATAAAAACCCTTTGTTTCAACAACTGCAAATTATATCAGGGTGTTGAGTTTCCTGGCCCTAGAATATTCAAAGCAAATCTGCAGAATAAAATGTTATTATGATAAAAGGATGGAGACTTAACATTTTTTGTATGTTTTGTTAATAAAAAACATACAAAACAAGTGTCCCGTCCTTTAATTGAAGCCACCAGGTGCGTTCCAGTGGGACACCTCAGTGGGATTCCTGAGAAGAATTTTCAATCTTCCCTCCTTTAGTTTTATCCTTGAGCTTAACAAGATCCAAAGGAGATCAAGCAAGGATAGCCTTTGGTCTACATCTTTAAGCACTAAGCACACAGCCCATGCTGTCTCTTGTTGCTGCCATGTGTCTGTCCTCATGCCTCGGCATCTCCATCAAGACGATTGAAGTCGTTCTGTAGAAATTTTATTTCAGAACATTTACTTACCCAGCCGAGATTCTTAAACCCTCTCTCAGTGGAGAGGTTTTATCTGTGATTGTCTTCAGAAACATCCACTGCTGTGGTTCCTCGCCCCAGTGCTGTGGCACACATCCAGCTCTACTTCTTTTGCCCCTGGCAGTCCTGTAAACCCTGCAATTCATGTCCTCAGTCAAGAAAAAAAAATGAGCCAGAGAGGTGAAATACAGTCTTTATGGAGAACAATTTTTAGCATTCGCGGCTTGATTGATGGACTGATTATGTTTGTCTTTAAGCTGTGCTGCTAAATTGTGAGTGGCATGTGTTTGTCTGGATCCTTTCATGTGTCTGTGTCTCATTTCGTTAGGCTCAACACTGTCTGATTGAAATTCAGCTGGAGTTTTGACGTGGAATTGAACACATTGTCCACTCAAGCAAAAGGATTGATTTCATCAACAGTCGGGTGGATATTTTCATGTCAGCTTCGATTCCACTGCACTGAAAAAATTTTTGTTTTAGATCTTTGACAGCTTTTTAATTATATTTGTAACCAAAGCATATTGAAGTAAATGAGTATGTCTTAAGTGGCCATGCGCTGGATAAACCCCCTAATGTCATTTCTTTTTCTTTTTTTGCTGCCGTTCATCAGTTGTGGTGTTGATTTAGAGATCAGAAAGAAATGAAAGGAACAGTAGTGGCTTTTTTAATTTCAAATTTTTTGTATTTATTCTTTATCAAGGCTATCTGTGCATCGCTCTTGCTGTGGTGCACAAAGTCGCTTGAATTTTACAACAGAGGACACTGATAAAAAGAGCCGTCCCCCCCCCCCCCCCCTTCTCTCAAATCCAATTTGGCGTGGCTTGGGTGGTTTCCGTGGTTTCCCTTCATGGAAGGAGAAAGGAAAAGAAAATCACAGTAGTAGTTTGACATGAGCTGTGTTTAAACTCCCCGTGGTTTTCAGTTCCAACACTCGCGAGTGATTTATGCCATACGTTTGTGTGTCAAAATCTGCACCTTTGTTTGCTTAATGACCATTTTTTGAAGCGCGCTGAGTAGGTGGACTGTCATCTAAATCCCTCGTACTGTTCTTTTACGCTCATTATACTTAAAGTGCGCGTGGGAGGCATGCAGCTTTCCAATCACTGAGTCGAAAGAGGGTTTTTGCCCCTGCAAGTTCAAAAACATCAGACTAATGTCCTGTAATATTTCCACAAAGCACATCTGCCCTGCTTAATTGGCTCTTTGTAACTGCTGTGATCTCGCATTCAATCAATTTTCATAATTTGGGGAGGCGAATGGTGGAAACCTGTGTAAAAGCTTTTAAAAAGAGGGGATGTGAATGTGCGATGAACATGCTGATGCTGTGTTTGTTTTCTTTCATCGGTGAATAGTTGAATAGTGTCTCTGTTGGCTAAGGTCACGGTGAGACCGTGTGCTCGACACTAAGAGTGGTGAAAACGAGGGGAAACTACAAACTGTTGCACTTATTTTTATTGTCAATAAAAGAATTTGTCATTATTGACGGGCTAAAGCTGCATCGGTAACTAATTTAGGATTGAGCTCGTTGACATGCACATGACCTCGCTGACCCTTTGATAGTTCGCAGTGACAACAACAACATGTGTGAATTCCTGGTTGTCATTTTGCACCAGTATATCAATGTGGATGTTGAGATATTTGGCTGGAAAAGTATAAACTTTGTCCTCTTGCTAAAGGCGTTCTTGTATACTACTAAATCCAGAGGGTCATCAAATTCATCAGGATTCCTCCACTCGGATGTATTGTCATGCATTTGTTTACAGAATGCGGCTGTAATCCATCCTCTAGACATAACAATCAAAGGGATTACGACCAATTCATTAAGTACACCTATTCACCTTAATCGGCTAATCATATGAAAGCAACTCAGTGCGTTAAGGCATGTAGATATGCGAAAGAGGACCTGCTGAAGTTCAAACTGAGCATCGGAATCAGGGAAGAAAAGTAATTTAAGTGGTTAGTCTGAGTATTTCAGAAACTGCTGATCTACAGGGATTTTCCTATACAACCGTGTCTAGGGGTTTATAGAAAATGGTCTTGAAAAGAGAAAACGTCTAGCAGTTCTCTGGGTGAAAATGCCTTCTTGATGCCTGAGGTCAGAGGGGAATAGCCAGACTGCTTCGAGCAGATAGTGAGGCACAGGAACTCAAACAGCCACTCATTAGAAGCAGGGCATACAGAAGAGCATCTCTGAACACAGATAGGCTACAGCAACAGAAGAATGCACCAGGTGTCGGTCATGACGGCTAAGAATAGAAAACTGAGGCTACAGTTCACACAAGATCACCGAAGTTGGACAGTAGAAGATTTAAAAACATTATCTGGTCCAACAGGTCCTTTTCTATTGCAATGTTTGGATGGCAGGGTCAGAATTTGGTGTAAATATCCCAAACGCCTGGATCTGTCTTGTTTTCTATCAGCAGTTCAAGCTGTAATGGTGTGGGGGATATTTTTGTTGCACACATCGGATCTCTTAATACCAACTGATCATTGTTTAAATGCCACAGCCTTACCCAAGTATTGTTGTTGACCATTTATGACCGCAGTGTACCTGTCTTCTGGTAATGGCAATGCGCAATATCGCAAAAATCAAACAATCTGAAATTGGTTTCTTGAACTTGACACTGAGTTTAAGAGCACTCAGATAGCCTCCACAGTCACCAGATCACAATCCGATAGAGCACCTTTGGGATGTGGTGGAACAGGAGACTCTTACCATGGAATCTGCAGCAACTGTGTGATGCTTTCACCTCAATATGAACCAAAATCTCTGAGGAATGTTTCCAGCACCTCATTGAATCTGTGTCGTTAAGAAATAAGGCAGCTATGAAGGCAAAAGGGAGTCCAACCTGGCATTAGCAAGGTGTAACTAAGAGGCTGGTGAGTGTAGTCTCTAAGCTCCAAGAAGATACTTAACACATCCTCTAAAAATCTTCATTCATTCGCTTGGAAAAAAAAGTATTCAGTTCCTCTGTTCTCTAAAACGTTGTAAACAACAGCAAACATATGCCTCGATGTTGTAGGTTTACTCAGTGGGCTTTAATGCAAAGCCAACAGGGTAATGTTACAAGACATTTTTAAACAATTTATGAC